CGAAAGACGAGAAAGTGAAACTTTCCCTTTTCCAGGAGCTATATGGACATATCGATGGTTTGTAATACTATCGATGGAATGCAGACCCAGTATCTGCATCCGATATGTTAAACTTACAAATCTTTTAAATCATCCGTGCCACAAATTACAGTCGTTGCTGGCCTTGACATTTTGTGTATATCTCTAATACCAACCAAAGCCCGGCTTTCAAACTCTCGCAATGAAATGATTAATAAAAAATGTGAATTACAAAATAACCGTTTCAATAAAAAAAAAAAAAAAAAAAACGCAGGAAAAATTGAACATAAAGAAAGAAATACTATATTTATGCGATACGCATAAGACACATTTAAGATTCTAAAAATAATGGAAAATACGATTAGTAAATAAGATTGATAGATAAAAAACCATAGCATCGAAGGACCGTTTACGATTATATAAATATTCAAAAAAAATAAATATTTCAAAAACAAAAAATATATATACTCACAATAATGAATAATAATGATAATGATGATAATAATAATAATAATAATAAGGATTGTGTTAATAATAATACTAATATTAGTTGTTATCATTCATTTTCAAAATTCTGTATATTTTTATTAATCTAAAAGTTTTCTACGTTAATCTTTTATAGTAGAAATTAGAATTATTTTATAATTTAATGTAATTTAATATTAAAGTATCGTATTTCTTCAATTCTCTGGATTCCGTGATAATAATGTCTACAAATTGTTAATGAGAATTGATTATTAAATTAGTTATGCAGTCATAACAGAGGAATGATTATGAGCGAATGTTTTTTTGAATGCGCGATAAGACAATTTTGATTGATGTGTATATAAAATACGGAAATATCACGAATATTACGATATATAGAGACACCGGGAACTGAGAAGTGCTTGACAGTGACTTCAATAAGGCATGTATAAGATAGCTGGAAACACTGTGATAAAAGTATTTGGCAATAGAGACAACAAAACATAAGTAGTATATAAAAGATAGTAAACTCAGAATATTGTGTGAGATTGTTTCAGACATTGTTGTTAACTATGTATGGACCGAATATCGTATACTTACAGATGTAATGAATTTGGATTCCGTAAGAGACAACGTTGCAAGAAATGTATGTGAGAATGTCTTCTGTACGAATGCAAAATCATTGTAATGTTGTATTAGGAAAAATGTAAAATAATTATAATGTTGTCAATCATTCGTAATATTGTATCAAGAAAATGCTCAAAAATTTGATAATTAGTCAAGAGTTAATGCTTCTCGAAAACATGAAGTATATTAGGCTGACCAATGCATTTTCATGGCGGTTTGAAAATAGGTATGTAGTTCTTAATTATTTGTCTTTTCGTAATACGTAAATGGACTGATTGTGAGGTCCATTTATTTAAATCTTAATTAACTAAACCCCTTGGCTTAAAAGGACTTAAACGAATGTTTGGGAAAACAAAAGCTAAATCGAAATTTTCTGACTATTGATATCTGAATTGTTTAGAATTTAGAATTTAGAGGATGCATGGAATAGCTCATAAGTGCCAATTTTTAAAAAAAATAGAAATTTTGGTCTGTCATCGGAATATGATGGACTGCTTATCATTTACTCGAGGAATGTCTAACAATAAAAATTCGGAAGAGGAATTCAAAATTTTCTTAATATATATGTACGATATTTTTTAAAAGAATTTCTTTATTGTAATACTTTTTTGATAATTTTCAGATTTTGATATTTTAAGTTCAATCCTCTTACAGAATCAATCCTCTTACATATATTTATCTTGAATATATTTAATCTTTCAGAAATCGAACAAAAAGTGCTATTTAAATGAAAAAATTGTGAATTTTCTAATTTATCAAGTGAATTTAATTATATGAAATATAAAGAAATAATGAATAATTGTACGACTGTCATATGAATTTGAATTATACGGCACAAAACGTTTACATATTGTACATAAAACGTTTAATGTATGTATTATTATCACTTCTGATTAGTAGTCACTTTTGCACTCTTTACACTTTCTTTATTTTTTTACAGTTTAGCTTTTCTCTCTTGCATCAGCTGGTTCTTTGTATTTATTTCTTCCTTCTTCTTTTTCTATTTTTTGTTTTGTAGTTGTATTTTTCACTCACGCCAGTACACAATTGTTCGAAAATTAATTGTGTTCGAACATTTCAATATACATATCGCGCTGCATTTACATATGTAAATATATTTTACAATATCATATTATTCCATCAATATGTACGAATAAAAAAAGTTGAATATAAGAATGTACATTATCATATTAAAAATTGAGATTGTAAATCTTTTAACTTAAACTCAGCTCGTGAAAAAGGAAATGGATATTCTATAGCATAAACTGAAGCTTAAATTTAACGCTTAATTCTAAGAATAACAATTAAATTTAAACTACGGAACATCTAATGGATTTTTACAACATTTGACAATCTTTTACGCTTAACTATTACTTAGTCTCCCATATCAAATTCATTTAATTTACAACTAAAAATAAAACATGAAGCTTACTATACTAATTTATCATTTATTTAACATTTATCACTTTAACGCTTATTTCGTAACTTAAATGAAAACTTGATTCAATATATTAAATAGTTATTTATAAATATTTTATATTTTAAACTTATATCTTATATATTATTAGATTTATATCTTATCCAATAAAAAAATAATCTCAATTTTTATATCAATTAATATGTGAGTTTACCTCCGAAAAGAAATAATATTTTTATTTTCATATTTGCAACTCAAAAGTAGCATATAATATTTAATAGTATATATATTTAGCACTTGGGTTGGTTGTATTAGCATTTTAAGGTTTGTATTAGCTTTAAATTAAAATAAAATTAATTTCAAGTTGTATTTGCTTAAATTTCTTAGTACTTAAATTAAATAAAATAAAATAAATAAAAATATAGTTATTCGATAATTGAAATTATGTTGTAAATTATTTCAAAGTGACGACGGTCGGTTTCATCGCTCAATTGACTTTCCAAGCCAATATTAATATTTTTGATCACTTTTTAAAAATAAGGCTATTGGTATTGATTTAGACTAGAATAGTCTTTGCAATATTGAAATTTGTATGTTGA